TCTCTATCAGACAGGCTATGAGCGCCCCCTAGCTGTCAAGACAAGCCACTGATCACCACCAATGTGACTTCAACTGAAAAACTAGGAAAGTTTATTTTGGAGAGTATTTTGTAATAACAAACAAGAGAGTGCAGAACAATCTCAACAGAAAATGGAAAAGAAAAGCCGTTATGTGTTGAGTTAAACTAATAGAACAAGCTTCAAACCACTTCATTCTGATAAGGGAGGCTGAATGTGCCAACTAGTGCCAATGACATGAAAAATTTGGCCTCTTTTACCTGGACCAAATTCATTTTTTGAACAGCCTTTGTTCAACTCACACTTCCATGTAACTAGAAGAGACAGACAATAACCTGGCTTTCAATGAACTACTCTGCTTATGCATGTTTATCTCCATGCTTACTAAGATGCTTAAATAAGCCTAACAAATTAATCCCTGTATTTGCCTATCAACAAAAAGTAAAACTGTTCCTTATTCCTCAGTGTATTTATTCTCCTAAACAAACTAAATCATTCAAAGGACATCTAAAGATGGCAGACTGAATACTAGGCAATGTATAAAAATTAGCGAGAGAAAAGGGATATAGGGTTTTAAAGCCAAAATAGGTCTCATAAAATATTTTACAGTCTGAAATTTTGACTAAAATATATCCTATACAACTTATGAAGTACAATTCAGAGTAGAGGTGTGGACAATGGAAGCGATAAAATTAAGCGCATAATACCTGCTGCATACACACGTCACATTCTCTTATTTTATACAGAAATTGAAACCAACTCTACAAATTTATTTCTAGCTAATTCCTCAGTTTAACCAATCTCTTAGCTTGGATGTCTGTTTAAATTCCTGAATTGTTTCTGGATGAGAAAAATCCTTTCAGTAAAGAAAACATACTTTAAAATATTTTCTTTTCACTGAGATCACGGTGATATTTTTCAAATTAGCGTGGTCCAAAAAGGCAAACCAGCAAGCCACCTGTTGAGTAAAAGAATTCTAGAAATCTGGCAAATTTATTTTTGCAAAGCAAGGATGTGATTCTATTATCAATCCTACAACACCACCCTGAAGAGATTGTCTTAGGGGAGGTTCAGCAATATATTACAATGAGAATTATTCTGATGGTTGGTTTCTTTGATTGCATTCTAACTTGTCAGTTCATTTTAAAGCTGTAGTGCTGTTGCTCAAATCTTACTGTCTATTAAACAAGAAATTCTGTTGTAAACAAATCGAATTAACATTATTATGTGGTACAGAAAAATCCTAAAACATTTATGTCTGCTTTTTCCTCAAGATCCATTTTAATTTTCTAAATTAAATGCAACTCATTCTATTTTCCCACTAATTCTTCACTAGAAAACAAACCAGTTTTTCCTCCATCAACTCATTAATCTATCACTGACAGATTAGGTGAGATACATTTATCAAGAAGGAATGCAGAGAAATCAGAGGTATTTATCTAAATAAATAAATTTAAAAATACCATAACAATGAAGTCAGAGTGCTGTCACTGAAAGATAGCAACAAAACTGACCTGACCTGCATCTGGATTGTTCCCTTAAGATTGAAAATCCTATACATACTTACTTGAGGCTAAGCAGCACTGAAATCAGCCGTGCTTACTTCTGAGTAATCGTACAGGATCAGTCAGTAAATATTTTTTTTCTCAGGCCATAAATATTTCCCTTCCTGCCTGCCCACCATTCAAGGTAAGAATTTTTATTTCAGCATCCAGAGACTAAAATCTAAAGCACTCCAATGAAAGGGGGTAGAGAGAGAAATGCCTGCCTAACAGAGCCATCCACCTTAAAAGGCAGTTGCCAAGCTGGTTGACCCTTCCTCTTTCATATACTTGCAGTTTTCAGAACACCTCATATTCACTGAAGAAAAAAATACAGGTGGAGACTGGGGAATTTTATATGAATTTGTTTACTTATTTGGTCATTGTTTGTACTTCCCGTCCAACTTCTTGATATTTTTTTCTTTCCTTTTTTTAATCAGACTATTATTTAAAAATTCATTAATACCTTCCTGAAAATTGGTCCAACCAGATCTTGGTGAAACTCTCTCTCCCTCTTCCTCCCTCCCTCGCTGTCTCCCTCTCCTCTCTCTCTTAATTCTGACAGTTGAAACAGAGTGACATTTTCTGGGTATTTTTGTCTTTCTTCCCCACCTCTACTCACATACCCAAATATACACATCATTTGTGCCCATGACAAAAGATTATCTCCTTGATTTTGCTTTCTACAGCCTAATTCTAGAAGCCCTCCCTCAGGACCCTTTGTAAAGTCCTTCCACCTGAAAAGTGGAATGGAAGACCTGAGGAAGAATGGAAGTACCTGAAGACTTTTTTTAGCACCATTGTAAACGTTAAGCCACAAGCACAGAGACATTTGGGGGAATCTTTCCAGCAAACCTTGTTATCAACCTCAAAAGTAATGATGGCTGGTTCTCACAGGAGAAAGTGAAATTCCCAAATCAAGCCAGATTCTAATTTCTTCCCAAAATGTGTGCACTGTGTCTGTTGCTTCTCCTACTACCAATATCTGTGACTGTCTTTATCTTTTCCTCCCCCACACAAACACAACACCCTCTTTACTGTCGAAAATGAAAGTCCACCTGCCAGTGTTCAGAAAACTGAAGACTTCCTTGGAATAATTTGTAAACAAAAAGAAGAAGAAGAGGAATCCTCCTTCCTTCCCTTTTGGGAATTTCATAAGCTGGCTAGGGTTTTTCTTCAGAAAAAAAAATAAATACAGTTTGCTCGAAAGGCATGGCAGTTTGGGTTTTAAATCCACTTTAAAGCCCAGCCATCCACTGCCCGCTCAAAATCAACTTAAACGCCGTATCTTCCTCGGTGCTGCTGCAGCTAAGTAGTAAAAGTGAGGGGGGGGGGATGCAAG